TTTTCCGAGTTCGTTTGGCTTTTCTACCCGACCGATTTTCATGATTGAGGTCTCAAATTGAAGGTATGCACGCACAGATTTCACATCTAGCATCGGCATATACTCATCTACTACTAGACCAAAAAAACCAAATTGGATTTATTTTCAAATTCTTACTTCAATTTAAGATGTATTCCACCAGTTATAGTTATATAATCCTATATATCTATACATATAATACGCTAAGCCGATTTTTGTAAACTGAACTCCTCCCACATTTTTGGACCGATTTTGATGATTAAAGTGTCAAAAGAATGGCCCTAATCTGTAGTTTTGCAAAGTGTTTTTAGTTTTTTTAAATCTTTATTAGTTTGGGCAGGATATTCCATCAAAGTTAGGTTTTCTCCCATAAGATTAACATGGGAGAATCTAAATATTTATTTGGAAACTTTGTCTCCACTAATTTGAGAGAACCGGACGTAGAAACTTGGTAGAGGTCTCCAAAGAAAGGCCTTGGTAGATGAGTTATCAAAAGAAACACGAAGTAAAGTCCCGTAGGGCTCTGCCCCAGAAGCCTTTAAAGATCCCTCGACACATTCGTTTACATTTTGGCTATGTGGATAATACTTTTTAATGAAACAGCAACAGCTGTTAATTTTTAAATTGTACTTTAAGCAACACACATTTTTATTGGGAGTTTCTGAGCTCTCCAAATAATGTATTTGCAATGTTATTTTCTGATTTTAAAACTGATATAACATATAACGTTCTATTACGAAATCAGTGGAAATTCCTTTTATCACAGAACTCTTACAACAATTTCTTATTGAACTATCTAATATCTGTTGTACAGGTTGTTGTCTGCCTTTTTCACCACTTTTGCCTATATTTTATCATATTAATCTACAGATCATCATTATTACATACTGTTAATGAGATTATTGTCATACGTGTTTTCAATCATTGGAAAAATCTTCGATTGTGTAATACAATACAAAATAATACAAGTGCAGAAGAGTACCTAGTCTGTTGATATGATGAATATTTACTTTTGAACTAATAATTTATTTGACATATGTTTTGGTTTTGTTTTGTTGTTGTCATAATAGTGGAATATATGTTGTTGAAAATAGAAGTGTGGTATCAAAAAGTCTAGTTTTTTCTAATTTTATCTTTATAGTTTTCATCACTTGAAGAAGTACGTTGCCCATTTGAGCCGTGTCCATATTTTGTAAAATTAATAGTAGTTTACAGTAACTGGATAAAACATTTTGATTTTACAATATTTATGTAGAAATATGTGCATGATTTTAGAAAGTCATTTAGCTGTATAACTGCAATTTACTATAGACTTTTCAGAGAGGTTACTTCGATATATTCATTCAGCATAGTGAACACATAATATAGATTGATAGCCTATGTATACAAATAAGAATTTGAACTGTTAGAGAGCCTTTGAATGTTATTAGAATAACAAAATGGGTTGTGCATGTTTACTAGCGCTACTCAGCAACAAAAACCATTTAATTTATCTCTAAAAAATATATTCTCAAAGTGCACTGAGCAGCAGCCTAAAAAATACTATGTAACTTACCCATATCGTTACAAAATACTCGAACTCGCATTGTAACATTTATAATTCGGCTTATATTTCTTCAGCAGATTATTTATTTGCCGAAGAAGTAGTATTGTGCTCTTATCATGTCTAATAACATCCAATGACAGAAACCTTGCCTAAAATGGTACCTATCTTGACAAATTATTTGCAGTGGCCTATATTACGGATTGTGGCCTACTGGGTTGTTAACATGATTGAAAATAACACGACAGTTTGGCTGTAAAAAAGGCACAAAGGGTAAATACTATTTAACCAGCTACTGTCATGACAGAAAGGTCATATTCCTTTTAAACTAGATCACATCATCCTTTATAAGATACGTTGTATAACAATGCATGTAAACGTCAATATTTACGTAACTGCCAATTTACAGTATTTTTTGCTTTTTGGAAATGCCGCATTGCTATGTCATTTGCATTATTTGTTGCCAACAAAGGAGCACAACCATACAAACAAGGAGATCCCTAACAGTCCAAGAATAAAAGTCAACTTCACTTCAAGTATATTCCACTACACCTAACTTTCCGTTGATGAATTAGCGTAAGTCTTGAAAGTAATCCGTCGATCTCGACGGGTTTCACCTAGTATATATATATCCGTCTAAGAAAAGAACCTTCGGTGGATTGCCGGCTTTCATTTGCTATTAGTTAATCAAATCAGACGAGTTTCAATCAAACGCAAAGAGAACAACTAAATTAAAAATCATTTTTTATAAAAAATTTTTATGATTAAAAATCATTAGCTCCAGTATAGTTTATGTTTTTGACTCAAAATAATCGGTAAATTATAGGTTTTAATTTGAGCTATGACTGTTTGAATCAGTTAAGATCAAGATATTGTATTACTCAATCAAAAATCATAAATTTAATTATTTCTCGGATATGATATGAATGATTCAACGCTGTGAAGCAGCATGGGTCCTCCCCTACAGTTAATTGAATTTATCCCCAAGTAAACTGTTTAAAAATTACTTGACCGCAAATGCATAGGCCTACGTATTTTAAGCGTAAAAGTTTTTATTTCATTTTAATTCATGCAACTTTTAACTACCGATACACTCCATTTAATTCCCATTATTTTAAAAAAATGAAGTCAAATATGTTAGGTAAAAACAATCAACTATTCCTTCAGTAAGATTATCAGAGGCCACATTAAGGACAGGGCCAAGGATATAAGTGCATTTGTAAACAATTTAGAGCAATGTATTTTCCCAATTGCAAGAACTAATTACTGAACTATTGTTATCTTTAGCCTTTGTTTTTGCGTCCAAACACATCTGCATAGATAAATAAATAAATAAGGTTAAAGGTAACAGTAGTTCAATAATTAAATTTAGAGCAACTTGCAAGAGATAACTTTTAGTTCCTTAATTGTTCAAGTTTATTAAGAAAAAGTGAGGTTGAAATCACTCTACAATTTCTCCAATACTCCAATGTATTATTTCAATAACTAAGATAAGTTATAGAGTACACAGTAATGGAATTGGAAATTTGTTAAATAAACTACTGGTACTCAATTTAAATTTTTAGCAAAACTCAATTTCACAAGCATAACTGTACCGCACCACTAAGGCGAGTAAGGAAACAAAACTTCAATTCAGCTCCTGGAACAAAACCACCGTAACAGAGAACATGAAATTCAAATACAGATTTAAATAATAAAGCCACTTGTATGCTTGCACTAAGCCCTTTTTATGGGCAAGATTGGTTTAATGTGAACTTGCTTCCAGTAAAAAGAAACAATAATTGAAAATGAAAATATTAGAGGACAACAAAATTAGTAGGAATACAAGATAGTAAAATATGTTAACAAATTCTTGATTAGCATTATACCTACCTGTAATTAATTTTTATAAATTTTATGGATATACAGTAATAAATTGAGTTTTCCGACAATATCTTATACATTTACACCCAAATTGTACTGTTACAAGAAAAAAATGTATTAAAAAATTAAAAATTTGAGAAAAAAATTAATTTCTTATTTATTTTTTGTCCAAAAGCTTATAAGATATCATTGTAATCTGAATGAAATTTACTAGATTTTACATGTCCTGCAAATATTTTGTAATATTAACGGTTTTTATGGAATTTTGCAAAAATATTTTTAGAAAGCCGCCATTTTTAAACGGTTTAAGAGTTTTTATTCAAGTTTTTCACAAAAATAGTGGTCAATAAGATAAACAATTTTACAGGATTTCGACGCTGTAGCTCAAGCAGTTAAGGAGTTATGGATGTTTTTGGTCCAAATCACATACAGACAGATTGACCGAGGACACATATTATTTTTAGCGAATTTCCCTATAGGGAAGTAGCTATTACCGTAGGTCTCATGGTAAGACCTAAGCCCGGGACCGATTTACTTTTTCATTTTGATGTCCCCAGAGGCCAAAAACACCATTCGTTCAAATTTTTATATATCTATATATAGAGATGTATATATATGTGTCCATCCGCACGATAACTTGAGTAATTTTTGTCCGATTTTGATAAAATTTGGTTTGAAGGTGTAAGGCGGGATAAACTTGAATGAGTTCGCGAACCAGCATGATCGGACTATGGGAACGGGGGTTTATGGGGGGTTTTAAGGGGTAAAAATAGGGTTTTCCCGTTTTTGACCCTAAAAACACAAAATTTCACAATTTCTTTTTAAACCATTTTGTAGAGCTTAAAAAAACAAATAATTTAGTATATTGAAGCGTTATTATGCGCCTAATTGCTACGCAGAAAATTAAAAAAAAATTGTAATTTTAAAATTCCCATGTTATTCTTAAGGAGAATAAGTCAACTGTTGTAGTTTGCTTGTTTATGAACATATTTTGATTGATTTTGGAAAATACTTTTATTTCTTACTAAACTATTATCATTTTAGAAAAAAATCTTTTTTACCCTCCCTGTTGCAGCAAACCTAAGTACTCGTTAAACTAATTCTATTTAAATAGGAAATAAATGTGCTATTTTTATGAAGGCATTTTAGTGTAAATCCAATCAGGTTAATGGAAATTCGCTTAAGTCTGCAGGTTTGCTGCGGCGGGGGTATTTTTTCTTTTGACATGCTGACAAAGTTTGTTTATATGGTTGTAAGCCTGGACAGCTGAAAGACTACATTTCTCGCCTACATTTCACTCTTTTCTACACCCCTCCTCCACTCATATTTAGGTTAAACAGAGAAGTAAGGTACAGAAAAAAACTTGCTTATGGGACGACTGTGCGCTTAAAGCTTCAGTATTTTGTGTGTGTACATACACCCTAGGAGATATAGGAGAAGCGACAGTGTTGGCCCTTGCTCAGACACCACTTACAGGCACCATTAAATCTTTACTCCATACCTCACTTCACTGTGGGTTAATTTTATTAAACTGTGTCTCCATCTTAATTGGCAATAAAATGATATTAATAAGGGACAATCAATAATTGATCAAAATGAAAAACTAAAAAAAAGTTCCTCAAGCAAGTTTAATGCAGAAACAACAAAAGTAATTTAACTCCTAGTTAATTTAGGTAGTTTTTAGTGCTTTTAAGCACTTAAAGTTACTCTGTACACTTACAGAAAGGAACATGGAAGCCAAAATTGCATCCAGCCTATCAAAAACAGTTAAAAACATTTAAAACACAATTAGGGTACCAGTAGTTTAACTTTAGACCGCTATATCTTATACTACAACTGAATCATCACATAAAAATTTTTAATTACAAATAGGTATTAAAAGGAAATAAACGTTAAAACTGACATTAAATGCAGTACACTAAACCATTATTGAGGATCATCCTCATCAATATTGTCTGTATCTTTATGCAAGTTCTTGATGTGTACTCGCATGTTATCTTTATATCGGAACTTCTTTCCACAAACGTGGCACTGGAAACCAGAAGGTGAATTGTGCAATTCCCTGTGAATTTTATAGTTTGCCCGAGTATGGATGATTTTCCCGCACACATCGCACACTAGACTTTGGTGCCCTCCGAATGGATCTCGGGTAAACTTCCTTCGCTTTACAAAGGATTGCTGTCTGTTGAGAGCTGACTTGCGGGAAACCAAGATTCGAGATCTGGGGCCCATCAGACAAAACCTTTCGTGCCTCTCCTTAGCTTCCTCCTCGTTGAATCCATAGCCACAAACTCCACACCTACAAAACAAACCGCTGAGAATAAATTAACAAAAACCTGACATACATTGGCCTACAAATTGCACACTGGACCATGATTATTATGTAGGCTTGATCTATCTAAGTAGGCCGACTGCCTACTTCTTATAGCAAATACAGAATGCACTCATTCATAATTGAGTCTGCTGGCAAACCGGAATGGTTGAAGTCAACAACCAACTCAGGCATGTGGAAGGCTTACACTGGACAGCTTAAGACCTTCAAATTTTAAGATCAGGAAACCGCTTGTCATAGAAACAATTAAACGATTAGTAAAAGTAGAGCTAGATTTGTAAAAAAATTAGGTGTCGGAACTGTAACCTATTTAATGTGATTTATACATATTTATGCTAATAATTTTGTACTAGGTGAAACCTGTCGGAATCGACGGTTACTTTCAAGGCTTACGTTAATTCATCTAACTGCGATAAATTGGTGCTGGCTGTTACATAGACCATTTTATAGTCTGAATGAGTATTTGTCTTGGCAAGAACTTGAATAAATCATCACTGCAAGAACTCTGATCAGCTATTTTTTATTCTTAAAAAATAACAATTTGTATTGACTTTTATATAGCTATATAGACTTTTATGTATCTTGTATCTTGGGTAAAATATACATATTTTGAGCATTTAGCATTGTTCAAAGAGTAATAAGTGTAAAAACAATAATGATATTAATTGCGTTAGTTGCCAAATTTGGTTGATCATTCAATGAATAAAATATTCACCATACCGTACGTCATCGGAGTTATTATTAGTATGTTATATGGTATCTCTTCCTTTGTAAGAACCTTTAAATAGTATTAAAATCGTATTGGTGGATCTTTTGTAGTTTAACACTTCCGTGATTTCATCAGTGTAATATGATTTTATTTCAAAAGAAAACATTTTTTGGGAAGACATATTCTAACTTCAAAGGGAGGTATATCCGTTACAGTGTAAGTTTGATTTTTCCTTTGTCACGCCGCTTCAGTTCATATTGTACTTCTGTGCCAACGAATGAACCCTCTAGCAAAGTTTTGAGAAATTGATTGTGGGGTTGCTGTTAAAGCTGGAATTCCTTGACATGGGGGATGTCAGTTAGTTGTCTCAGCCTTATCAATAACATAAAGTTGTCAGTATAATCTCTCAACGGAATGTTAGGTGTAGTGGAATACTTGAAGTGAAGTTGGCTTTTATTCTTGAATTGTTAGGGGCCTCCTAGTTCATATGGTCTTGCGGCTTCATTGTCAACAAATAATGCAAATGACATAGCAATGGGACGTTTCCAAAAATCAAAAATACTGTAAATTGGCTGTTACCATTGACTATTGTATTAATAGTCAAAGCTGTTACGTATATATTGACGTTTACATATTGTTAATCAACGTATCTTATAAAGGATTATGTGATCTAGTTTAAAAGGAATATGACCTTTCTGTCATGACAGTAGCTGCTTAAATAGTATTTTCTCTGTGTACCATATTTTACAGCCAAAATGTCGTGTTATTTTCAATAATGTTACCAACCCAGTGCGCCAAAGTTCGTAATATAGGCAGGTGCAAATAATTTGTGAAGATGGGTACCATTTTAGGCAAGGTTTCTATTTTTGGATTTTATTAGACACGATAAGAGCAGATATTTCTACATAAATATTTGATATGTGTATAATAATATGATAAAATGTAGGCAAAATTGGTGAAAAAGGCAGAGACCAACCCGTACAATAGATATAGTTAGTTCCAGGGCCGGATCTACAAAATATGGGCCCCCCTGCAAAAATCCTCCAAGGGCCCTTAGAGCTGGCATCAATAGCAGGGAGGCCTTATTTGCGGGAGGGGGGGGGGGGGAATGTTTAAAATGTATGTAGCTGAAACTGAATTTTAACGCTATTTTAAAGATAAAATATTGATCCTGTTTGTAAAAAAACATTTTCGTTAAAATGCGGAATTTTGTAAAATTATGTACTAAAAAAAAAACAGCAAACTTCAAATAAAGCTTTTTTATTCTTATGTCAATAGGATTTCTTAGCCTTTCAAATAGGTTTACAAATTATAAAATACATATTGTACAAAAAAAGTAAAAGGTTTTACATAAACAATTTCAAGAATAAATAATAATGTATAATAATAAACAAACGACTCAATTTAAACTTAGTTTCTTTTTACACTACTCGTATATTTTCAAGATAGGTAGGCCTACATACAAATCATGGTTCCAGAGGGTGGGGCAGAGGGGCCAAAGCCCCGGGGCCCTGCCTGGGCTCTGAAGGGGGCCCAGCCTGGTCAAATGTGAATTGTGAAATATTTTCTGTACATGTAATCTGCTAAAATCAAAGATTTTAGCATGGTTTTTCAGTTCACATATTAATTTTTGAGTGGAATAAAGTTGCAACTAGGAGCAAGAGAATTAATCAAACTATTATGCGTTTTAGATATATTGTTAAATGTTTAACAAAACGGCACGGAGGCGGCTAGACACTAAATCGGGAAAATAGGGGGCCGGAGATCACTCAGCTCAGAGGCCCGTGACGGCTCTCTCTGGCCCTGAGGTCGTTAGATAACGCTACAGAGGTTATTATAAGTCCCGCCTGTACTACAGACTTATTGCTCAGCTCAACTGATAGTTGACTAAGTTGACACTACGTCCACGTCGATCGGACTGTAGTGGATCTGTGAAGCGTGCACTGCAGCTGACGAGCTGACTGGACTGAGCTGAGCATACAGACTGGACTGACTGAAAGTGACAGTAAACCACAGATTAAACTGTCTACGGCGAGGTCCCGAGTTGTTGACGAGTAAAATCAGTAGGTCTAAATTTACTCAATAATTGTAACTTTAGCTTTGATATTGACAATATTTGTCTGTCAAAACTAAACTTACCGTCCTATTCAATTATGTTTATATGCATTAAAATAATTTTAAATTATAGAGCTCTTTGGGCCCCCTAAGGGCTTGGGCCCCCCTGCATTGCGGGGTTTCGCGGTTCCTAGATCCGGCCCTGGTTAGTTCAATAAGAAATAATTTAAGAATTGTTATGATAAAAGGATTTTCCACTGATTTCAAACTGGCATGTTACCGTTATATTGCAAAACATGAGATGATCAAGAAGAAAATCAATTTTAAAATCAGAAAATAACATTGCAAATACTTATTTGATAGAATTCAGTAACTCCCATTAATGTGTGTTGTTTGAAATAAAATTTAAAAATGAACTACCATCTGATCCATTCAACACTCATACTTAAGTCATCTTCGCCATGACCCTTACACATCTAACATAAAATAATCACTCATATTTTACCTGTGGTCGTAATGCTCTGTGTGATGAGTCTCATGCTGCAACAGCAGTTCTTGCCTCACAAACTTCCTCGGGCAAAAGCTGCACTGGTAGTGCTCGGTCCTGTCGAATCTGTGCAGTGAATTTTCATGCAGAACTAACTGTTTAATAGTCGGGTACTCTTTTGAACAAAACTTGCAGGCGAGAGAGGGCCGATGGTAGTATTCTACGTGATTATCGTACTTTATTTTGTCGCCAAACACACTCCCACAAGTGTCGCAAGTGTACCGTTTCAACATCTTGTGTTTAAGTCTCATATGCCTCCTCATCAGAGAGGCGAACGAAAACACTTGATTGCATTTCGAACACGGATGGTGGAATGGGTTGGGCTTGTGCCTAGCTTCTATGTGGTACTTCATGTGGAGTTTGTCATGAATCGTCGCATCGCAAAAGATGCACCGTCTATCTTGGCTGGTTTCAGAATGGTTTTTGGCATGTTTTTTAAAGTGATCCATATTGTGGTAAGCAAATTCACAAATGTAACAGTAAAATCCTTCTTTGTAAATAAAACTTAACATGTGCGCTTTCATTATTTTTGACGATTTAGTTTTGAAATTACATTTTGAACATTTTAATATCCCTAAGTATTTTCTGTTCACTGGTCTCGGCTTTACAGGTTGAATGGCAGCTGGAATTTCACTTGGTTGGTCGTCTTCGGAATCAATCACAATTTCCTCTGTGAAACCATCTTCATTCGGTGTTTCAGAGTCTGCTGCGGAATTGGTAACTTTGTATATGCAGTCTGCTTCTTTAACAACAGGAAAAGGTTCAAGTGTCTCTTCAGTTCCTTCTACAACCTGAATTTGCAAGTCTCCTGCTTCCATATATTCAACTTGGTCTATAGAGCTAACAAATTTTAAGTCTGATTCCTCAACAAAATACTTCTCATTCGTCTGCGTTTTTTTATTCTTCAGCATAACTCCGGTCTGTGTTATTTTACTTCTCTGTTCCACATCAGCTGTCTGTATTGAATTTTTACTTCTAGCTAGAGTCTTATCTGGCTTTTCAGTTCTAAATTGTGAGTGAGACTTTTCATTATTTTCCTGCAAAAACAAAACAATGTTTAGCAAGCGATGAATGGCCTAAAAGTAAAAGTAAAAGTAGTTGTGGTTTTAGTTCAGAGATCTGGCATTAGAAAAAAAGTAATTGAATCCTGCTGCAAAAAACTAAGTATAATAAACAATGTGAATGCAAGAACTATAAGTATGTCTATGCAAATATTGTAGGCTTTTGCTTTTAAAACCTGACAAATCTGTATGCTATATACAAACTTACAATTTGATCAGGTTTATAAAGTGAATATACATTATAAACCCAAAACATTGGGTATATATTTAGTTTACTCAAAATAATTCGTAAAAAGGATTTTGCAATGGATAGGTTTAACAGCAGGCTTACCTTACTAACTAAAATGTATATGAAAATCCTATCCTATATTATTATACGAGCTATGTCTGTTTGTATATCTGTCTGTAATATATATCTCGAAATAAAGCAGAAGGATTTTGACTTTTTGGAATTAGGTACTTTGAGCCCTAAAAACGTGATTGGTGGCAGCCACTACCTCAGGAATAGTCATATTTCGCTACACAACTCGTTTGAAAATTTAACATTGGCCTTATGTGTTATTTTCCAGGCTCTAGCTTGGTATAGTTTTTCACGTTACATTAAGTTAGACCTCAGGGTTGCGGCATTATCAATTGAATAAAATCCAATAGTGATTCGGTGGGATTTTAAGTCAGGACCTATTGGACCAAAGTCCCTCACAGGTCGAAGTCCTGCGCATTATCCGAATTGTTTACAGAAGAAATTTTATAACGAATCCTAAAACTAAATACAGTAATACGAATGATTATTTAAGTAGACAGAAGCCCTGATCACAGAACTCACCGGTGCTGGAGGTGGGAGTGAATAGTTGAGGCGCAGTAAAGCTCGCAAACCTACAGTAGCGGTTCGTAGCTCTGCCTCCAACTTGGATATACGAGAGACTACATTACGACAAGCCCCACACAGGCCGTCATCCTGGGTCATCACAACCACGTACTCTGTGGAAATACCTGGAGAAACAACAAGTCTGGTTAGTGAATTATGAGACAACGAACTCCTTTATCCCTTATGGAGATTAAAAACCCTTTCTCAGAAAGCATTATAACTCATTGTAACATAGGTACCTTTTATTGTACTTTTTTAATGGTAATTGCAATCATATATATTCTTACGGTTCCTCAAAGCATGCATTATCACAGTCGTACTTGATTGCCACTTGTAAGGTTATATAAAGATAGGTTTCTTTGGACAAATGTACTGTGATAATTGTTCTCTGAGCAAGAAGGGCTCATTAAGTTATGCTTCTAAAAGCTTTAGTGAGTTGTTGTTTCATCCCAACCAGCAAGCACATAATACAATAGAGAGGCTACTTGGAGCGCGCAGTGAAGCCGGCTGAGCGGCCGGAGGTGTCGGGCCAACATGGCGGCGCTGTCCTAGTCCGAGCGTCAGACTTCCCCGCACCCCCTGCCCTCAGTACCACCACCAGCCACCCCCACGCCTGCCTTCCTACGCTACATCACATAGAATTTAATATTGTAGATATATTGCTGGTTTTGTTGTTAGGTCAATATCTTCTAAATTATGGTGTGAAGATTGTGTCCAATGTTTAAGAAAGGACAAGAACAATATTTTTTAAAGTTTAATTGTAAGTAAGGATAGGGGAGGGTTAGTACAACCGTCCGATAGTGTTATCAAAATATGCAAAATTTGTGAAAGTTATTAAAAGAGTAAGTTTGAAGTTTTTAATAATGATCATTTCATAAGAAAGTATTAAAGTAAAGTATTAAAGTATCAGAATTGTCTAGCTGATAAAAACATGATTAGTAAAATGACAAATTATATACTAAGCAAGTGTATAGGAATACATTTATTTCCTGGAAACTTACATTTATCGGAAATTGAACTGGATAGTAATCATTTTTGTTTGGTTATAAAATTAATCGCTAACAAGTATTTTTCGACAAGATTAAACTATTATTGTAAGCTAAGAAATGAAAGCCTTCATAAAAGTAAAGTGAGACAACATTTGAATAAAACTGTTATTTTTTTAGGCCAATAAATATATTGTTTAAGTACTTTGACTACGTTATTTTATACCCAAAATCACCTACAGAATAACAGAATGCTGTAAAATAGTTTTAATTCGTTGCCATACCCTGTCAGTTCTGCATTATCAACCCTATTTCTCATTATGAAAATCAACGTATCAAACTAGTAACTATTTATCCTTTATAAAAATATAAAGTCTTGATTGAGAATGAAACTTAAGTACTCTACAACACTTATACATATAGAGACGGCAACATTTTATATGTTATTGGTAAATGAAACACAACAAACAAACAAATGTTCTGGCCGGGCAGCAGCGGATTACGGCGGCGGCACGGGGATATAAGACCGTTTTGCCGCCTTGCTTCTACCTGGAATTTTGAAAAAACCAGTCACGATAGAAAAAAGTTTGGAATAACAAATTAAATTTTTTTATTCCTCTACAACTTTCCCGCTGACAAAATGTCTCTGACCAAAAAATAACAACTTTTTTATGTCACGTTTTAAAAATCAGAATGAAATGTGTGTAATAAAAAATTCATACAAAGATAAATACAACTATTATCAATGTAAAATTTATACCATCGTTATCATTAGAAAATTTGCTAAAATCATGCCAAATTTCATCGATATCCTTCAACATTAACTGTGGGTAATGACAGTGTATTTGTCGCGCCATTTCACTGTGGAGTGAGCGCCCGGCTCGAAGATTTCGGGCTGGGTGTCGGGCCAATATGGCGAATTTTGCTTCACTGTAAATGCATAGGATAATATCCGTCTGTCTTCTCTATTGTATTAAATGTGCTCGCTGATCCCAACACGGCAGACGGCAGACTACAATCTTGTACCCAGGTGCCGCCACTAACATTTATCAGTTCAATTTATTCTATTTTAGGCTACCGGCTTAAACCTGTTTGCTTAGAATGCATTCCATTATTGTTTCATGCTAAAATAGGGACAGCTTTAACCCTAGGAGTGGCAGATCGACAGAAAATGTCGATTTCAAAATGTGCCGCTGGAGTGGCGGGCGACAGAATATGTCGATTTATGTAACGTTTTTTTCAGTTGCATGTTAAGCACATTTAAAGTCGGTGAAATGACATAACTCTTATACCAATGGAAAGATAAGATTCCGAAGTTTCATTTTATTATAAGAATAAACCTTATAACATAAATACATCGATCTTATAATGAGTTACATTTAAACGAAAAATACGCGCGAACTCGCGAACGCCATGTTTTGTTGCGCAGTCGTCAATGATGAGTCATTTCAAAACTAAATAGCAGACGTAATTTATGTCTGTGACAAAAGCAAGTGGTACCACTGTGACAAGCATGAAGAAATCTTTTATTCTGTATAAAGTATAACGTCATAATACATTCCAACAGCTGATGAACAATTTTTGTAAATAGCCTATTTTTACGTATTGTTCATGTGGCGAATCGACATAAAATGTCGATTTCTAAATCGCATATATAGGCTATACAATGTGAAAAGTACAAAAACGTTGTTTTATATACGCTCTTGTAGACGAAGGACAGTAGAATTCAATGTTGTTAGGCTGGTCACACAAATAGAAGCTTTTGATTTTTCAAAGCTAAAGGAACAGAACACTTGTCATCGTCTAACCTAAAATGGCGGCGTCGTCGTGAGTTTTTGTCCGATAACAAAGACGAAGTGTGGGTTTTATCACTAATTTTACAGTGTAATGTTCGTTTTATGTTTTTATTTTGTATTAGGCGAAATATTTATGCATTATTTTGCATAAATATTTATACATGTGTGATCCAAAATAGGATAAAAAGTTAGTGAAGTTTTGTGGGCTATAACAGCTGATCAGTTGTTTTGTTTACATTTTTGCTTTTGTGAAAACCAAATATTCTATTACTTATCTTATTTAGTTATTCTTATATAGAATGATATTATTGGCTTCAAAAAATGTATGGTTTTATCATATTGATTTATTAGTAGAGGGCATTTGTGGATCTATCAACGTGTAGTTGAAGAAATTGACGTTTTCCAATTTTTCTGTATTATTGCTAGTAAATCTATAAAAATAATTCTTTTGTGTATATTATGATATGTCTATGTAGAGGAATAAATTCTAAACAAAATGCATATTTTGAATTGTGCAATAAAAAATTACGTAACATGTGACACGTGTTTGCTTTTGAAATAAAATTTATTAAAATTTATAAATTTTCTTTTTTTTTACTTTTTTCTAAAAATCTACCTTTCTAAAATTGGTTTGTATTACACCATTTTTGAATTCTACTGACTATTACGAACAAAATGAATATACGGTTCAATAGTTTATCTCTACATACTAATTTTATACAGATTTTTGAAGAACTCCCTAACAAATTCATCAAAATGAGCGTGCCACTCCACAAAGCACATACTGAAAATCGGTCTCGCCACTCCTAGGGTTAAGGAATTTCTAAGTGTATTTGAATAAAATAAATAGTTTACTGGGCAGGTGGAACAAAAAAAAATGAGAAAATTTTAAGTTACCGTACCAAAAAGTTTTGTAGTACTAGTGATGTAGGGCCTAGGCCTACATTCATTTTGTAAGATTGGCCATCCTCAAAGCAAACCAACAATACTTGACTTTTTTATTTTGATAATGAAGTTGGGATCATTTGTGGTAGATATTATGATGGCATTGGGAAAAGATAGCATTACACAAGGAGAAGTGTGTGATCTGATCTTAAAAGCAATCAAATATTAAAAAGATGCAAACGCTGAAATAAAGCTCCCAAACCTAAAAACAAACATCGGTTACCGATCTAGCAGGGAAGAGGATCAATAATGAGCCTGACCCTGACCCCACCATCACCAATATCTAAAAATAATCAATACTGTTTCACAGATCACACCGACTTGTAAAAATATTGTATTTTGATTTTGATGCCTAGTAAAGAAGCACAACAAGATATTGTTACCTTCAAGTATTTTCTGAACAACCCTTGTAAAATCTTCTCTTGAAAATTTATCCAAGTCACATTGGCGAATCGCTTTATCACAAACATAGCATCGTCCAATGAAGTTGTCGTTTCCTGCATTATTTGTAACAGTAACCTTGTCATGGTTAGTAGTCTCTATGGGGTTTACAACTGGCTGTACCGTCAGTTTCTAAAACAATGAATGAGATTAGGGATTAGTTGATGAAAAAAGCACAAAAATTCAGATCCTTGTTAAGATAAACTTTACCAAGTCAGCAAAGCATCATTAATTCTTAAACTTATAACTGACATTTAGATCTACCCAAGGAGAGATTTAGAACACGGTATTTGGAATTGAAGATCGGCTTACACAGTTTTGTGTTGTTTTTAATTTTGACCTATTAAATCTCTTTCATGTTTTTGGTTCCTACAACTGTTACCTTTCAAATTAATTTTATAGCTCCAGTGAGTATGTACAGTGGACAGTGGTAGGCCTAATATAGCCCATATTTTGCAACACACAATGTAGATGTACTAGGGTAATAAAATTAACTTTTACAGAGATATGACAAACTACAAAGTATGCCTATTAACCCAGAATAGAATATTTTTGAACATAATCGTAAATTTTTGAATGCAACCCCTCATTTGTAAAGGTAGGCCTATTTTTAATAGAAGGAAAAAACATTATTCCAGGGACAGATTTAGCTGTTAAAATTGTTGATGAAAACATGACCTTTTGTAAGGCAAAGTAATTACTTAAAAAGTTAAAAGTTAAGTTTAAAATTAATGCTTTAAAGTTCAAACTATACTTTATGCCTGGGATATTAGTTTCCACTGTTTGCAGTCTGAGATAGGCTACAATAAAACTCACTTTAAGGCCAGCCACACACAGAACCGGACAGGGCGGGGCGCGACAGGGCATTTTGCCCCGGGACGTCTTGTGCGACGGGAATCGCAAGGGCGTTTATGAAGCGCCACACAAAGGACTGGGCGAGGCAGGGCACGTCAAGCAAAATTCGCAGGGCAAAATTCGAAATTATGCTCTGAGGCAAGTCGCTGCCGGGCAGAACTTTCTGCGCATCCGCGGTCATGTGATTTATTCCCTCACAGGCTAATTTTGATATGGATTATTTTACAACTAATACAATTTGCAAAGCTTATATGAATATGACTGTTACAATTTATACGGCCAAAGATTACACATTTTATTGGGGCTAAACTTTTTACTTGACGTGCGACAGCAGCGGGACAGGGCAAGACACGCGTCTCGTCATGCCATGCCCCGCCCGGTTTTGTGTGTGGCCGGCCTAAGTTTATATGTGCAGGCATCAGTGAGCACCACAGGGCTACACGCCTTTGAACTTTGAGTCTAATTGACAATAAATTCCCACTGGGAGATGAATAAATAAATAAACACTTAACAGATTAGCGTGCAACAATGCATAGTTATCAGCTGATTGGCAATGAAGTAAAGAAAATAGGAATACTAAAGTATGGGTATAAGCTTAATTTGGCTTTAAATAGTGTCCAAGGGTACTTGAATTTTGAGTAAGTAGTGTTTCATAAAAACATAGCGCTTAAATGTCAAATCTTAGGGTCCCTGGCTTGATTCCAAGTTAAATTGATTTTGGACCCTGAAACTAATTAGGCTATCAATTATTGATGTTATCTAAAATAACGATCTATATTACTGTGCATAAGCTAGGATTTACACTGTTAACATGGACTACGGTAGGCCTACCTTAAAACGATAAAAAAAACCAGCTTGGGTGTAAACTTAGATAAACACAAAATAAAAAATTATCCTTCAGTAAACCTATAAAATTTACAAAGTTTTAGTATTAGAGAGTACTTAAAGAGGCCTACGTTAGTTGCAAAAGAAATTAAATTGTTCCAGTAAACTTAAGTTACCTACCCTATACAAATTAAGTTACAGGTTTAATAAAAGTTAGGCCTACCTCTTTGGCTTCAGAGAGGGTACAGTCTTCAAAGCAATCTAGTGTGTCTGAGTTTGGATTTTCAGTATGGTGGACCTTTTCTGTCCCTGTGAATGAACTTGAACTTTTTGATTGATTTCCAACGTTATCAGATCCACTTGTCAAAAAATCCAAATAAATAGGTGGGTCGCTTGATTTTGAAGCTTCCTTTTCTTCACTTAAAATTTCTTGTGCAAGAAACTTATGATATTCATGATGGCTAAGATTTGTAGGATCCTTCTGTGCAACTTTGAGAAAGCGAGAAGGAACAGCGTCTGGTTTCAATCTTTTTGGTTTAACATTGGCAATTTTTGATGCCATACCATCTCTGTAGTCACTTAAATGAAAATGCCGACTACAAACAGAATCATTCAGAGAAACTTCACTAGGTCTTCTGTTGCACTTTAGGAGCCATTTATTTCTTAATGACTTGTCTTTTGGGAAAGCAAAAAAACTCAAATTTACTCCAAATTTTTTCAGTGTTTGATAACTGGCTAAACATGAGGGTACACAACATTTCTTACTTGATCCGGGCATCATACATACAAAATGATTTAGGTCAGAAGAGTAATTATTTGTTTAAATTTACTTAAAACTCAGAGAGAAGTCAAATTTTATGATTGCATCTAGGGTAGGCTTAAGCCAAGTGAGTTCATTACAGTAGGCTAACTTAGTACACATCTCCTCATGCATACAATCCAAACTGCTCTGATCGCTAAACATAAAAGGGGCAATTTTAACATATTAAGACCTTAAATCTAAGAGAAATTAATCAAGAATTAATTACTTTTATTTTTAAGAACAGTAAGCGCTAAAGGAATATAACCTCTAAACTCAACACAATACAACACTCAACAACACAAACACAAACACTGAAAGAAATTGAAGATGACATGAAAGGGGTCTAACTTACGGGAGGTTTAAATGAGATAACGATGACAACATAGTTTAGTTCAAAATTCCTCCGTGAACAGCACTGTAGTAGAGAGCACAGCCAAGGCCAAGGCCACACTAAAAAAACAATTTTTATTTCACTATTAGGCCTAGTTAATTATAATTTATTTTTGTAAAAAAATACAACCGACTTCAAACGCTCTAAAAAGAATGAAATAATTTCAATAAAGTTAACTTTTGTATTAGGCAAGCTCACGTATTTCAATTCGGCGCGGCTCTATGATGATTTTTGATACAAAATTGAAAGAGGGTGTCCATATTGCAGGTGACTATCTATAACTAAAGGTGTTAATCTGCATGTCTTTTTATAGTTATGCGTTAAGTGTTATTTTATTACCGAAATCAGAGATCGGCATTATAGTGGTATTAACGGGTATCTTTAAAAAGATTATAACGCATTTAAACGTTTCTAACTTGGAAATGTAACGTTTTAATACTAAACTAGCTTCTTTTCCCTATCATAATATCAAACTAAATTATTTTCCTATTCATATAGAACATTTGTGTGTGTTATTTTCATAATGCATTTATTCTGAAGTAAACATAAAATACAAGAAAATATTTCCTTTAATATATAAACAAAACAGTTCAGTATGTTTTTTATATATTTATGTTATCCAGCTACAATTTATTGATTTTCAAAATACACACACAATATTTAATTTCAATCATATTTGCAGTTTGAACCGCGCCGACTTGAAATACGTGAGCTTGCCTAATACAAAAGTTAACTTTATTTAAATTATTTCATTCTTTTTAGAGCGTTTGAAGTCGGTTGTATTTTTTTACAAAAATAAATTATTTCATGATTTTTAGTGACCGTATAGTTTTTATGTACCGGTATTAATTACTTGAGGTTTTTTGATAAGCAAAACTGTTTGAAACAATCAAACGTTCCACAGAACAATCATTATTTTAAAACTGCTTGAGTCACCTGTTCAGGTTACATAATCAATGGGTATGAAAATAAACATATTTAGATATTAAGAAAGAAAGAGTTGTCCATTACATTAGGCCTAATGAAAAACTAATTGTCTTTTCTAGATACATTGAAATGTCAGACATCATCGTTTCTTTGCAATCGGTGTACTTCTACATTATAAAAAGAAATACAGTAACGTCTCAAGCCTTTTGGAACAAAATAAAGTTATTCCTTAGCTACCAGCACTAAAAAATCTCTCAAAAGTGGAAAATTGGTCGTTAACACCATAGAACCTTTCGTATAGTACCTTTGGAAAATATTATATGAAAGATTGGTTCAGCTAAAAGTGGTGTAAGTCATGTAGGGGGTTTTGTTTGCTCAAGATGAGTGGTTATAGTGCTCGCCTAGTAATCAAAAGGTCGCCGGTTCGATCCTGAGAAAAGTTAGTAGCTTTTTGATGGTTCGAAACTGGACCCAGCTGTTCCTGATCATTGGGCTTTAAATAAATGATCCTGACTAATGAAACCGCTGATCTTAGTCAGTAACAAAGCTACACAGGTCATCACACACCATTCTACACTCATCCTTCACTCATATTTGGGTTAAAATACGCACCTAGGTGGCGTCCCCATCTCAATAATTGATTGATTGAAGATATAGCCTAGTTGAAATTGCAAATCATCTTCCTCTAGGACTTTCCGAAGCAGGCATAAAATAGTATTGATATGTTATAGTTACTGGGTAGAGAATATCAATTAACATTCCACATCTGCAAATGCATGTTTAGTAATTAAAATATTCAACACTTTTTAATAAGACAATTGACGATTATGCACTGTCACACTTCTTAGGTCGTGTAAGGAATAATTGCATTTGATTTATATTTATACCTGTTTTACGAATGCTGTGGTTTTCACAATACACCTTTATTTGTCATTATCATACAGCTATTCACTGAAAAATGTATGTTTTTGTAAGTCAGAATATTCAATACTAAAAACATAATTACTGTATACACAAATCAGGTCAAACGTTAAAATAAATTTTTTATAGTAACCAAAACAAAATGCATTTTTCTCAATGTAATTAATTTAGGCTTCATGGCAAGAAATAGTTTATTGATCAATATGAAGCAACTGTGTCATGAAGAAATTGTCTGTCTTTTAAATGGTTTCAACTAACAGCTGTAGGAATGTTATTATTATTTATTGCCTTCTCTGCACAAATGTAAACAATGTGCACAAATGTAAACAAAATGAATGTTGAATATTTAAGGTTTTCAGAATTTTTCACCGAAACAAATATTATACTTAAACATAATATATAAGGTACCAAATAGAAACTCTCCTGGTTATTTTGGTGGTGGAACCACACTGATCGGTAAGAGAATCACAGAGAAATTGGTGAACATACATAGAAAAAAAAAACATCGCCACAGACAAATTGAGAACCTCCTCCTTTTGTTGGTAGTGGGGAAGTCGGTTAATAAAATTAAGAAAAATTATCAAATTGATCTTATAATTTTTTAATGATAAAATTAAACTGTCATAACCTAACCAAACCAACCGAACTTGCTGATGATGACTTTTCTGTTCATAAAATAAAATTATAAATGCCTGAAAATTCAATTTAATAATTTTTAAATTATAAAATTAAATTGTCGTAACCCAACCAAACTTCCTGATAGTGAAAATAATCGAACGAAGGTTTACTAATCGAAAACATAGTTCTGTTCATAAAATAAGATTATACTTACTTACTTACTTGGATACTTGGATACTTGTCTTCTATATCTTTGACCGTGATTACGGATAGATAGCGTCAAATTTTATAATCTATACTATTATATACCTAATAAATTTCTGAATATTAAATTTTATTATTTTTAAATTATAAAATTAAATTGTCATAACTTAACCAAACTTGCTGATAATGAAAAAATCGAATGAAGGTTTACTAATAAAAAAAATAGTTCTGTTTACAAAATAAAATTATAAATAACCCCAAATTCTAACAAAAGATGTAATACAGTTAAGAAGCAATCATCGCATTCTAAGCTAAATCGTTGTCAAAAAGTTATTGCAATCGGAGGGGATTGAACCGGCTACCTTCACTTCATCAGCCAGGAACGCTTCCCCTAAACCACCGAGGCCGATTGCTTAAGCATTATGAAAGTTTGATTTTATTAGATATTTAAGGTGAAAAAATAAAAATAAACAATAGTACATTTAAAACTCATTTTTCTCCAAGTTTATATTTTTAGCCAACTTTAGGCTGCCTTTATTGAGTATTAAAAAAAAATACTTAGTAATAATTTGTAGGAAATTTTATTCTCTTTCAGAATATCACCTTCCACTTTGGTCGATTTCCTCACCGTTTCAAAGTTATTTGCAAAAACGTTAAGCAACCTCCCAATTTATAGTGGTGAGAAAATACTGAATTAAAGATGTTGTTGTTATAAAATTTGTACAATTAAATCTACAGTTCTACTGAACCGATTTTATTAATTAATAGGTCATTGGAAAGCCTAATTTGTGTAGATTTGCAAATAATTATAAAAGTTTGGTTTTTTTAAAAGATTTACTAGGTGAAACCCGTCAAATTCAACAGTTACTGTTGAGATTGCAAGCAAGATCGTTTGACTATAAATCGATGATAAATAACTCTATTTTTTGAACAATTTGTGTTGTTCGTGATTTAGCTGTGTGCTTTAGGTACGTCCGATCTTAATAATCAATAAATCAAATGGAAGCTGGTATTTCACTGAAGGTTCTTAGTTCAAAACAATTAGAATAACGTAATTAGAATGAAGTACCATATCCAAGATATAATCAAATTTATATTTACTTATTGAGCGATACAGTATCTTGAACTTATCTGTTTAAAACCATCAATATCTCAAGTGAAAACCTTTGAAGTATTTTAAGACCAAGACATATAAAATAACTTAATAAAAATAGAGTAACGTATCATTGATTGCAGATAAGTACTAAAACGATTGTAATTATTGTTGATTCGTGGTTCAGCAGTGTGCTTTGGGAAGTCTGGTATTTCACTAAAGGGTTTTAGACCAAAACATATCGGGTAATGTAATTAGAACTGCTGGAATATATCTTTAATTGAAGTGAAAAAAATTAAATTCTTTCGTCGAGTAATATATTAGATAAATTAATGATGATGCTTGATGACAAATATGTGCTTGCATAGCTTTATTTTAAAACCAAAATTATGAAAATCGGGCAGGTAGAAGAGCCAATCGAACTAAAAAAAACAAATTTAAAAGAAATGTACACGGAGGCAGTTTGTGTATAACCACAGAAAACATACTACTCGAAATATACGTCAAAATGAATGCCGATGCTTGATGGCAAATCTGTGGTACGCCCATACCTTTTAGTTTAAGGCCAAAATTATGAAAATCGGTCGGGTGTAGAAGAGCTAACCTGACTCGGAAAAGAAAAACCAATATTTTTTATAGATGTCAATATAATTGGTTTACCAGTATGCATATTCTAATCATACGAAACATTTTTCAATTTACGTATAGGGAATCTTTTGGGGACAGCAGACTCAGAGCTACCCACGTTCCCTATTGTTTGATACGGAGAATAAGTTACTCATAATCACCCCAGGCCGAAAGTCCTACACTCTGATTCCGAGTATCGTCTAAAGCTCCCGATTTTTATAAAACTCGCGCGTATTGAAACACCGTTTGGAGCAAACAAAAGGGAGATTGCCACTTTTCTTTTGGTACGAGCGACAGGGGAAGCTAATCAAGCTATAGATGAGTACATGAAACTGTAAACGGGTACTTTGTAACGTGTACCCACTGGCTTTTACGGAAAATAACGGTTACTCAAAACAACTCAAATGTGAACAGGAGTACAGTATTCCACAGAAAAGGTCCATGTCAAAATTCTAGAC